GAGGTCTTCCAGTCCAATCCCCTGCTCAAGCAGGAGACTATACCATTCCAGGCAGTGATGGAGCACCTACAACTTCTGGAGGCAAGTTGTTCCACTGATTGATTGTTCTCACTGTTAGGAAATTTCACCTTAGTTCTAGGTTGCTTCTCTCCTTGATTAGTTTCCCTCAGTTGCTTCTTGTCTTGCCTTCTGGTGCTTTGGAAAATAGATTTAGCCCCTCTTTTTTGTGGCAGCCCCTGAGATATTGGAAGACTGCTATCATATCACCTCTGTTGTTTCATAGATAATGTAGATCTATTGCAACATGTTAATTTGCTGCAGGAAATTTTCAGAAAATTGCATTCTTATCCTGTCTGGCCTCAAAAGCAATGTACACCTCGATAATTTACCAATTAGGGAAAGAAGCAAAAATAATTGATGTACATAGCTTTCTTTTGTGCATTTTCTCCTATCAGATGCTTTCCAAAAGCCTTGCATAACAGATTTCTGTTCTTTAATAGTGCTTATTCATACCTTCTTAAAGTTACTGTAGTTCTTTAAAAGATGGTTAGGTGCCGATTTCTCATAGTCTAGCATCAGGGCTCCGAAACCATAGTGTTTGTGACAAAATAAATTCCATTAACTCGTTTTATTAATGCTGTACACAGCAATTCTGTTATATGTGATGAAATGACTTAACAGGATTCCATCAGAATGTTTTTCATCTCACACAGAATGTATAATTATTGCTCACCTAAGCTGGTACATTTTTTTCCCTTTTAATCCTGCCTCACTGTGTAGTCCAGAAATCTAAAGTGTTTTTTATTATAACTCATGGGAGAAATTAAAAAAAAAATGACTTCCCACCTCTTTGTGCCCATAAACATGCATGAAAAACCCCATACTTTTTATCTCTGTTCAGTCTTTTTCTTCCTCTTCATGCTGAGAAAGACCGAGTAAGTAAATCCAAATCTTAGAGATTTTGGATTAATATAAAGACCAAGCAATATCAAATACCTTGCATGGACTCACATGAATACACAAAAACCATTGCAGACTCTTGACGTCCCCAATAGAGTAGTGGCCAAAATTGTGGAAACCTTTTGGGAAAAGTGTATTTTTGAGGTTTGATGGCTAATAACACCACTTTTTATTTGGGGTAGTACCATAAAATTATATATCAATGGAAAGATAATTTAATCAAGAATGTAATGCAACAAAGTTTGTTCAATTATCTGTACTGTATTCTATGAAACTTTATAGCCAAATAACCAGAAAAAGGAAGCACAACTTGCTTAGGTTGCTATCAGGTAGCTTTCCTTCATCTGATTGTAGCCAATGGGCATGAATGTTTAGAGAGCCAATCAGGTGTCATCTTGTTTTGGCCATGAGCCAATCAGATCACAGTAGGATTCAGTGATTGATATCCTGTATTGAAGCTGAGAGGAGGACATTTGTCAGTGTGTTATGTGATCGCTATCAAGTTGGTTTGGGTTTTTTGTGTTCTTTTATTTAGTGAGCTTGTAAAACATAATAAAATTAAAGTAATGGTGCAAAGAGTTGACCGGTCGCCCAGAAAGTGATGTCAAATAGTATTATTATGTGAACAAGGCTACAGTTATAAAGAAATTAGAAGAAAAATTGGTGGAAACTTAGCCAAAGGTGGCATTCTACTGTACACTTTTCCCAAAAGGTTTCCACAATTTTGGCCACTACTGTAGTTCTCCACACATGAGCATTCAAATGTATTAGGCTCCAGTTTTATTCTACCCAAGGTTTCCAGAAGGGAGGATAGAGAATTGTTGCAATTGTTGTTATTCTGGAGTGGCAATGGATTTTCTATCCCTAATTCTGACCCAAATTTTTCTCTGTGAAATCTTCTACAGATAGGCCTGTAGTCAGATTCATAATAATATGTACAAGATATGGATGGATGGATGGATGGATGTTATCATCATTCCTTTTATGGCTTTTCATTTCTTCAGTGTAGGTTTTACATCTGAGACCCAACAACTTATTATATAGAATCACCAAGTCAATGTGGGCTATCTAAGGCCAGTTAATAATGGAGTATCCTGAGCACATCAAAATCTTTGCTACGTTTTCTTAAAAACTTTCATGTTTGCATGCAACTTTCCCTAGAATATGTAGTGTTATTCCTAATAGATCCACGGATGGATATAATAGGTAGCTTGATAATTGGTAGGTAATAGTAATTTTCATTAGAGTGATTGACTAGCTAGCACAAAAAAATGTCTATAACAGTCCAATATGAATAATTAAAGGATAAAGACATGACTATAAAACCAGAAACCATTACAGCAAATCTTGTAAAAACAATAACAGAAAACTGGACTAGAACACTAAAATAATTGGACTGATAAAAAAAATATCAATGTAAAAAAAAAAAAAACCCAAAGGTTATTATTGTATTTGTATCAGGTGGAGAATAGATCTGAATGCATGTGTCCACAGTTCTATCCCAATAGCTTAAACAAAATAACAGCATTGGAAGGGACCTTAGTGGTCTTCTAATCAACTCCGTGCTCAATCAGACAACCTTACACCATTTCAGACAAATGGTTGTCTAATGTCTTCTTAAAAACCTTCAAGGATGGAGCACCCACAACTTCTGGTGGCAAGCTGTTTCACTGATTAATTGTTCAAAATGCCAGGAAAATTATCCATAGTTCTAGGTTGCTTCTCTTCTTGATTAGTTTCCATCCATTGCTTCTTGTCATATTGGAAGACTGTTGTAGACATATCATCCCAGTCCTTAATAATAATAAAATAATGATGATTATGATGATGATGATAAAGTTGGAAGGGACCTTGGAGGTCATCTAGTCCAACCCCCTGCTCAGGCAGGAAACCCTATACCATTTCGGACAAATGGCTGTCCAGTTTCTTCTTAAAAACTTCCAGTGTTGGAGCATTCACCGCTTCTGGAGGCAGGTTGTTCCACTGGTTAATGGTTCTAACTGTTAGGAAGTTTCTCCTTAGTTCTAGGTTGCTTCTCTCCTTGATTAGTTTCCACCCATTGCTTCTTGTCCTGCCTTTAGGCGCTTCGGACAATAGCTTGGCTCTCTCTTCTTTGTGGCAGCCCCTTCTTTTCATTAAACCAGACACACCCAATTCCTGCAACCATTGTTCATATGTTTTAGCCTTCAGTCCTCTAATCATCTTTGTTGCTCTTCTCCGCACTCTTTCTAGAGTGTCAACATCTTTTTAATATGGTGGTGACCAAAACTGGATATAATATTCCAAGTGTGATCTTGGATACTGCATCAAAGAGAGAAGCAACCTAGAGGAACTTCCTAACAGTGAGGACAATCAACCAGTGGAACAGCTGGCCTCCAGAAATCATGGGTGCTCCATCACTGGAGGTTTTTAAGAAGAGACTGGACATACCCGTCAGAGACAGGTATAGGTTCTCCTGAACTAGAAGATCTCCAAGATCCCCTCCAGGTCTATTCTATTCTGTTCTGTTCTGTTCTATTCTATCATGCTGAATCTCTCCTGAGTTTTTTGTTTGAATTCACAGTCTGACCTATACTGTAGCTCTGGTGAACTTCAATCCATAAAAGAAAAAAAAACAGATCTGAACTCAACTTTTCTCTAGATAAGATTTTGGTAGGTATGCAATAACCCTGTGGTGAGTTTTTGTATCCGCCATCTCTTTCAAGTCTTCTGTTCATCTCCATTGAGCAAACATATGTTTCTTCTTCTATTATTACATTTCAAAAAAAGAACAACTCTCGCAGTGGCAAAGAAAATAAATTAGTTCTTTAAATAATAAAAAGAATACTAACAATACTGACCTGCTGAAAAATTGGTCTGATCTTTAAAGATATTCCAGAATAGCAATGAAGAGACTATTAACAACAACAGAATGATGACAGATATTCATTAGTGCTTGCATATGAATGAGGAGGCACTTAATTACAAATTATACTTGGCAAATTATTTAGTAGCTGTAAATCAAATGCTGGAGAGATGAAAGATTCAGAGTGCAAGTTTTTGCATATTTCCACTTCCCCCTCCTTCAATAACAGCCGTCTTGAGCAAATTGGAGAAGCTGCGTCTTCGTTCCAAACGTACAGCATCTTGAAAATACTTCAATTTGGGCAACAATCCACAATCCGTCACAAAATAATCCCGTGCAAAGTATATTGACAGGAATGAACTTTTGCGTTGTTCACCGTCATTCCATGGGGAAAACAGATTGTGTTTCCCACCCTTTAGCGTGTCCGTAATTGTGTTTGGTTATTCTGCCTGCAAGGATACCTTGTAAATGCATACTATATAGGGATTTAAATGGTTGCTAATGGTTAGTCGTAGTTGGGTTTGCCAGTTAACAAGGTAACTAGTGATTGGTTAGCGGTGCTTGCAGTAGGAGAAGGCTGAAGTTATTTACACATATCTTTGGTGTTAATTCTATCAAGCTCTTTAATGTGCATTTGTTAAGCTGTTGTTGTTGTTGTTAGCTGCGAAGTCGTGTCCAACCCATCGCGACCCCTTCCTCTGGGCCTTCCTTTCCAATACCATCTTCTGGAGTCCATTTAAGCTCACGCCTACTGCTTCGGGGACTCCATCCAGCCACCTCATTCTCTGTCGTCCCCTTCTTCTCTTGCCCTCCATCTTTCCCAGCATAAGGTCTTCTCCAATGAGTCCTTCCTTCTCATTAGGTGGCCAAAGTACTTGAGTTTCAGCTTCAGGATCTGGCCTTCTCAAGAGCAGTCGGGGTTGATCTCTTCTAGGACTGACCGGTTGGATCACCTTGCAGTCCAGGGGACTCGCAGGAGTCTTCTCCAGCACCAGAGTTCAAAGGCCTCAATTCTTTGGTGCTCAGCCTTTCTTATGGTCCAACTTTCACAGCCAGACATTGCAACTGGGAAGACCATGGCCTTGACTATACGTACTTTTGTTGGCAGGGTGATATCTCTGTTTTTTAGTATGCTGTCTAGATTTGCCATAGCTTTCCTCCCCAGGAGCAAGAGTCTTTTAATTTCTTGGCTGCAGTCCCCATCTGTGGTGATCTTGGAGCCCAGGAAGATAAAATCTATCACTACCTCCATTTCTTCCCCATCTATTTGCCAGGAATTGAGAGGGATGGATGCCATGATCTTGGTTTTCTTGATGTTGAGCTTCAAGCCCACTTTTGCACTCCCTTATGTAGTGTTCTTGCAGCTCGTTTTGCATACTCACTGTTTGTTAGTATTTTGCACACTTCTTGCTGACTCAACATTGATCCTCGCGTGCATTTCATTTCACTGCAAATGCAAATGGAGTGGGAAGATAAGCTAATTTAAATTAAAAAGGCATTGGAAGTGGGAAGAGGCAAATGAAACTGATACCACGAGGCCATGAAGATGTTCTATTGTCACAAAAGTCACACACTGCAGTCACCATCCATAGACTTTGATTAATAAAAAGTATTGGCAATGAATTAGGGGGGGGGAATGTCTGCAAGTTAGTGGATTCTTGAATTTATTAAGGAGATTTCCTCTTCTGGAGTTACTTCTTGGGGCTGAGATTTTTTTTTTTTTTTTTGTGGCCAGGTTTGTTTGTTTGTTTGTTTGTTTGTTTTCCTGAAAGATAAAAGAAAAATGATTTCTGAGTTAGATCTGTGGGAATGAGGAGAATGCTCCTCTCCAGAAGTTTAGTTATGGAAGAATGAAAAACTACATCTGATCTGTCAGTTTAATTCAACCTATCTTTTGAGGGGTGAAGACAAGCAAAGCCCAGGAAACTCAAATGCTAAAGAACTAATAGGAACAGGAAGATTTGTCTCTCTAGAAAGACTTCATGTTTTCTTCACTGCAAAGGGTGGAGGCTGCAGATCAGGTAAGCAGAAGTTCCAATTTCTAGAAATCTGGGAGAGGAGATTTGAAAATGAGCTCACGATCTATGGACTAGTATAACTAGATGGAGCTAAAAATGCATTTATAGAAAAAGATTTGAACTTGGTTCCTTTGTTCCACTTGTTCACCTTTTTAACCTGTATCTACAGTATGATCCTTGAAAAAAAAATATGGACAGGATAATCCCTTTAGAACCCATTGTTAATTCCTTCCTTCCTTCCTTCCTTCCTTCCTTCCTTCCTTCCTTCCTTCCTTCCTTCCTTCCTTCCTTCTTCCCTCCCTCCCTCCCTCCCTCCCTTCTTTCTTTCTTTCTTTCTTTCTTTCTTTCTTTCTTTCTTTCTTTCTTTCTTTCTTTCTTTCTTTCTTTCTTTCTGCAGTCTTTCTGGTTCCAATTAGTTGCTAAACTTTAATAGATTAGATATATGATAGATAGATAGATAGATAGATAGATAGATAGATAGATAGATGACAAACAGACAGACAGACAGACAGACAGACAGATAGATGACAGACAGACATATAGAGAGAAAGATAGATAGATATGATAGATAAGTAGATGATAGATAGAAGACAGAGATAGATAGATTAGACAGACAGACAGACAGACAGACAGACAGACAGACAGACAGACAGACAGAGGGCTTTTTTTGTCATAGAACACCCAGAATGGAGTTCCGGCACCTTTTTTGGATGGAACCTTGTAGGGTAGGCAAGGCGGATTGTATGACGTGTGTGAATTCTGGCACCTTTTTTTTTTTTTTTTTTTACAAAAAAGCACTGGATACATAGATAGATAGATAGATAGATAGATAGATAGATAGATAGATAGATAGATAGATAGATAGATAGATAGATAAGAGAGAGAGAGACTCTTTCACTAACAATGTTCCATATATTTTTAACATAAAAAATATTCTTGAGATAATCATTTCCCTTCATAGCAATTATTGGATTATAGTTCTCAATTACTAATGGTCCTGAACAAATTAATGGATGCCAGTTGGACATCTGATTTGGAACAGCCTAAAATAATACCAGAGAATTTTTACTTTCTAGGATAGTCCATACAGATGTAAAAAAAAAATAACTATTCTGGAACAAAGAAACTTCTCCTGCACAACTGAGCAGCAGAATGTTTTCCAGCTATCTCAGAAGATATTAGCCATTTTTTTAAACACATTGCAACTGCTAACTGATAAGATATTTGTTATCTGTGTCATATATATGTATAACTTTATCTGTACCTGCTGTACCTACATAACTTTTCGATCTTTTCATCCTGTCTCCTCCCCAGCGCTACATACATTTAGCCACTCCATGCAGCCAATGAAGGTTTTTATAGTTCATATACGCTTATGACTTTTAGTATAATTCATTAGTTGGTAACTCCTTCTGATTTTCAGCCAACTTGTAGTTACACTTGGTAGTAAGGCCAGATGTAAGAAGTTCATCCATAAGGCACTTGATTTAATGGGAGTAATTGCACGCTTTTCAATGTGTCAATTTTATTGGGGACTGGTCATTTGCATGAACAATAACCATCATAACAAGAACAGAAACAAGAACTCTACCTGATTCTGTATTTTGACAGAAATCCAAACGAAGATCAAATCATGGAATTTCTGTCCTTGCCGAGAGTAAATAATTGTCTGAAATTTCTATCAAGAAAAAATGAAAAGCCAATTTAAGTTGAGCTCAAACCCTTGGGGATTACACAGGTTTGTTATTTTGGACCAACAATACACAGATGTTACTCATTGTTTTCTTCCAGGATGTTGTTATTTTTTTTTTAATCTTCCCCAGGAAACCTATGACCAGAAACTGTAAACATCGTGCATTGTCTAAGTTTGTCACAACAAAGAAAAGGAAAGACTAAAAAAAGAAATAAGTAGTACATTTTTTTTTTTTGCACATCCTCGGATAAAACACTTCGAGGGTAAGGAAATTTCAGTCTGCAGAGCCTAATAAAGCAATTAGGCTTGACTTCAGAGAGAAGAGCAGTACTCACTTCCACTTTTTCTTTCCCAGACAAAGGGACGGATTGCTGTCATTTTTTTATTAAAGCAGATAAGCCCAAAACACCAACTTGAAATCCTTTTAGATTAGAATAGAGCTTGAAGGGACTTTGGAGGTCTTCTAGTCCAGCCCCCTGCTTGAGCTGGAGAATCTACGCCATCCCAGACAAGTGACTGTCCAGTCTCTTCTTAAAAACCTCCAGTGATGGAGCACCCACGATTTCTGGAGGCAAGCTGTTCTACTGTTGCCAATTCCTGGACAGCAAGACAACATTTGAGTTCATCCTGGAGGTGACTTGATTTTTCCAGTGGGAGAACCAAGGAATTGCTCCATATTTTCCCCTCCCTCTTGATCAGCTCCTGTCTGAGCCAGTCAACCCAGAAGATGCCAGATGCAAGACACAGACTGTAGGTCAGCCTTCAGCTTGTGCATCCAAATAAAGTCCAGGATTATTTTCCTCTTTGAAGATCTTACTGGTTTATTGAATACATGACATGGTACGGGTGAATAAAAACTGACTCTAAAATTCCAAGGTATCTAACCAAAGCATAGAACAAGGACATTCCCAGCCAAACCTCCCAGATGTCCTCCTAGTTCAGGTAAACACCTTCTTGTTGTTTTGAGAACCTAGGCTGGCTTGTCAGCCATGGACAGGAAGGTATTACAGAGGGTGGTGAGCAGGGCACAATACATTGTGGGCTGTTCCCTGACATCATTGCAAGGGCCCGTTGCCTTGGCAGAGTGAGGAAAATTCTCAGGGATGACTCACACCCTGGTTGGTACCTCTTTACTCTCATACCATTGGGTAGGAGATATAGAAACATAGCCAGCTGTACCAACAGGCTGAAGAACAGCTTCTATCCATGGGCTGTCAGGCTCTTGAATGGGACATAATTTTACGCATGATAGACTCATGAGGCCGGCATGCTGTGCAATTAGCTCACAGGGTGGTGGGGTTGTAGTCACTGGTGGGGTGACTACAACCCCACCAGTGACTACAACCCCACCAGTAAGTTGATGGGGTTGTAGTCACTATGAGTTGTGGTGGGGGGCACGGAGGGAGGCTCAGTCAATCTCACTGTATACATGTTATACCTTGATAATAAAGATTCATTCATTCATTCATTCTGTTATCTTATCTGGTTAGAATGTCCTTGAAAAAAATTCCACACATCTGTGTCTCAACAAATATCTGCAGAACGGGAGAGGTTTTATTTCTCTAACTAACCTATCTAAAGCCTCATTTCTCTCCCCCCCTCCCTTACTGTAATGACAAGATGAAAATATAGCTGCCACATTTTCACTCTTGACACTGTATTGCTATATGGTTCTTTTGATCATTAAAAAAAGCAAGTTTGCATTTGGGATAACTCCTAAACGAAACCAAAGAGGGCTATAGTTGAACTCAGTGGTGGGATTCAAATACGTGAACAACCAGTTCTCTGTGTGGATGCCCCTTCTGGAGGTCCATTCTGGGACTGGGCAACAACAAATTAGCTGCCGGTTCTGCTAAAGTGGTGCGAACTGACTGAATCTCACCACTGGTTGAACTCTATAGTGGCCAAAATTGTGGAAACCTTTTGGGGAAAGTGTACAGCAGAAATGCCACCTTTGGTTAAGTTTCCACCATTTTTTCTTCTAATTTCTTCATAACTGTAGCCTTGTTCACTTTATAATACTATTTTACATTGCTTTCTGGGCAAACAATCAACTTTTTGCATCATTCCTTTAATTTTATTACGTTTTACAAGCTCACTAAATGAAAAGGGGGAAAAAAACAACCAACCAACTTGATAGCGATCACATAACACCCTGACCAATGTCCTCCTCTCAGCTTCAGTACATGACATCAATCACTGAATCCTACTGTGATCTGATTGGCTCATGGCCAAAACAAGATGACACCTGATTGGCTCTCTAAACACTCGTGTTCATTGGCTACCATCAGATGAAGGAAAGCTACCTGATATCAACCTAAGCAAGTTGTGCTTCCTTTTTCTGGTTATTTGGCTATAACCTTTCACAGAATACAGTACAGATAATTGAACAAACTTTGTTGCATTACATTCTCGATTAAATTACCTTTCCATTGATATATAATTTTATGGTACTACTCCAAAAGAAAGTGGTGTTATTAGCCATCAAGCCTCAAAAATACATTTTTCCCCAAAAGGTTTTCACAATTTTGGCCACTACTATAGTTTGGAATCCTTGATGCTCTCTGAGCTTAGTTGTTTTCTTGCAGGTGTTTCATTACTCAGATAGGTATTATAAAGGAGAAAGGAGTGGGTTTTGCTCTGTTTATCCACTAATGGGGATTGACCTAATTAACACCAAGAACACTCTCACCAAAACTGATCAGGCAAGCCACTAGTGTATAAACCGAAAGCAAACTCCAACTGATGATGTTACCTAGCTGGGTGACAAAAACAACCAAGCTTTGAGGGCACCAAGAACCCCACAGTTCAACCCTGAGTGATAAATATTGTCTTTTCTGGGTCTATTCTTAGTTGACAAAAAACAAAATAGTAGGTAAGTAGGTACTTTTCCCAGTGCTGAGCCCTGACAGCCCTGCAGCTCCAGTCATCTCTCTCTCTCTCAGGCTTATACAGTACTGCCACTGGTTCAACTCATTCTCCTCCCCTGCTACCACTTTTCTAGGATGTTCATGTACCATCTGTCAGGTGCCAATGTACCACAGGTGGTACCCGTACCACTGGTTGAAAAGCCCTGCCCTAGATTACGTGATTTTTGTAGAACATAATGCATTTTGTGTGTTCATCAATGCTCACGGTCATTTAGAGGAGAACAAAAACTAACTTCCTATGCAATATGAATGCAAATTGTAGTGGATTGACAGAAAAAGGGGAGAAGAAAGGAGTAACCCAAAGAAAGTATAAGCCAATTGAATTATGGACATAAAAAACATTTTCAGATCACCAGTTGTTGTTGTTTTTATCTCCTAAAACAAAGAAAACCAAGTTTGAAATTTCGTTGTGGAGTGGTGAAGGAGATGTTTATGCGGGTTAGTAAAATAATGAAAGAAGGAGCTATATTTTTTGTGAATATTAAGTTTGCGGCTAAAAACAGATGGCAAAATTGGGAAAGCCTGAACCCAAAGCGTTCCACTGATTCATTGTTCTAATTGTCAGGACATTTCTCCTTAGTTCTAGATTGGTTCTCTTCTTGATTAGTTTCCATCCGTTGCTTCTTGTCCTGCCTTGAGATGCTTTAGAGAATAGATTGACCTGTTGGAATACTGTCCCACCTCATAAAGTAGGACCAGAGTTATTATGTACAGGAGACTATAAGGATGCATGTACGAGGACCAAGAAGTGCAGCTACCTGTCTACCTAACTTCTATCATCTCCTGGGAGGAGAAAAAAATAGGCAAAAAAAAGCAGAGGCAAGTTGCTTCTGTACTTTTGGCTAAAAATGTAGGGGGCAAATCCATCTCCAGAGCCGAGAGAAATTCTGAGCTTTTACTTAGCGCAAGATATATGTAAGTAAATGCTGTTCATCCCTGATTCGTTCTCCATGCGCAGAGGTTTCCTTAAGCCTTCTAGCAAGCCTAGCTTGTATTGGGTGGTGAATGAGCAAGCATCCTATTATATCCTGTTCACGCATGTGGGTCGACAGATAATAACCACAAGCAATTGCCCACCTCCACCGTATGTTTTGCCTGCCAAAACGTCCATTCCAGACATCTGTTGTGCATTGTTGAGAACAGTTCTTTCTTTGTTCCCACACTTCTCACCAGGTTAATAAGGCATTAACATGCAAATCTGTCCTCCCTCCGCCTTGATAGCTCAGACAAGGATTGGAATGCAAGGCAGGAGTAATGCCATGGTGTGTTGGAAGCTCTTCAATGCCTTTCCTATCGCTCCACAATTAGTAGGGCATCCAAAGCCTTGTTAACCATGCCTGTTAAAGGGATCTGAACTTGTGCAAATGAGGAGCTTAACAGCTCTTGTGTAATGGTAAATGGGACAGGGGAGCTGAAAAGTCAGAGTTGTCCCTCCTCTACAGAATGGTTGAACTTTCTTACAAACCAACATTTGTGGTCTATTCTGGCCTCTGGATAGGTGTGCCCAAGTGGAGACAAGCAGAGAAAAGAGTAGATTCAGGACAAACGTGAATTTTAATTGGTATGCATTTCTCCCAGTCCTCAGGTTAGGGTTCTTTAAAGTCCCTCCACTGGTTATTAGATGTTGGCCAGATGTTTTTGGGGTGTCTGCTTGTCCTTCTGTTCTTGTTTGGTTTTCCTGCTACATTGTTTTTACATTGTGTAGTGTATTGTGAGCTGCACAGAGCCACATGAAGTTCGGTGACATCAAATTAAATGCAGAAAATACGTTTCAGGGATCATACATCCAGCAAAGATAGATTTGACTTTGCACCACAGGTTTTTGGCAGGATGGAAGCACAATCTCAGGATTGTATGCCTATGATTTCCCAATGGGAAAAGAGGCTGAGTCTTTGAAAAAAAAAAGTTCAGAGAAGAGCAACAAAGATGATTAAGGGCCTGTAGACTAAAACATACAAAGAAGGGTTGCAAAAATTGAATATGGCTAGTCTAGAGAAAAGACGACAGGATGACAGTGTTCCAATATTTGAGGGGCTGCCACAAAGGAGAGAAGAT